TTCGGCTGCTGTGGCCTCTCTAGGAGCCTCACGGTGCAAGTTGAGAAATAACATACAACAAAGAGGTTCTAAGTCCTGTTAGCAAGGGAAGGAGATATTGCATCGTGGCCAAAAAGTTGGCCTCTGATGGCACAGAATCAAGAGCACTGGAGTTTGTATCTCAACATTTTTCTTCCAGAAGCCCGAGCTAATAGCCCCTGATGTCAAAGCAGCTCATGGCTGAGGTAGGCAGTCATTGCTTGTTCAGCAAACACTTAGCAAAGGAATATTGTTGAATGCAGCTTTTGGCTACCAAAGTCTTTGGGATCAGGCAGGATTAGTAACAGTTAACTCAAATACAGAGGACATCCAGCGTGAGATCTGCAAAATATCATGGGGAACACAGGGAGATGAACTGCATTATTTAGGGAGTGTCTAGAAAGCGTGATATCCCCAGACTTTCTCCATGGCTTTTACTGCTATCAGGCTTGATTCAGAATCCTTGTAGCCATTCAGTTTCTCAGCCAACCAGGAAAAAAAAGCACTTAGCTGTGGCAAAATTGCTTTGCCTTTCTTTGTATTTGCATATGCAAAACAAAACTCAGCTGGTGTTCATCTACTGTTTAGCAGATCTACATCTCTTACAGGAAATATTTTCCTGTCTTTGGGGGACAAAGCCAGTAGGAGAGCAAGGCAGATCCCCACAGCTGGATGTAAAGGTGAGGCGTCTACAATCAGAGTTTGAGATTCAAGGGGACCTTTAATATAGTTTGTTTTAGTCCTCTTCCCTAAGTGAAGATGGTGCATTCCAAACTGTTATTGTGATAGCAGGCTGGGGACACTACATGAGCTTTGGACATGATTCTCACAAAGGAATAGCAGGAGACAGATTTGGCTTCACAAAGGACTCTAGGCTTAGGCAAAAAATGTCCTTCATGTCCCCCCCACCCTGTGCCAGCCCCACTCTGTTCCCTGCCACACTCCCAGATCAGCTCAAGAACATCCCCATCTGATCCATCTGGATCCAAGAGTGAGAAAAGTTCATTTCAGACCCAGCTTGACATTCCCAGGTGGCAACTTAGCACTAACATCTCAATCTGTATGCGACATTTCAATCAGTGCAGAGTAACAAAAGCAGAACTATTAGCGCTGGGAGCTGTTCACTGGTGGTAATGATGGAGAAACTCAGAAACTGGAAATGAAAAGGGAAAAATAGCCCCTCAACACCCTGTAAGGCATCAGGGGAAGAGGGGCAGAGAATTTTTCCTCTACACTTAGGCCAGGATCCAATGTTTGGATTAATGGTGCCATTACCCAAGAAAGGACTTCAGATAATGCTCATTCTTAAAATGTTTTTGCTGGCAATTAAATGGTTGCAGGTATCGATCTTCATTGATCTGATGGTCTCAATTTGCATAATCTATTAAAGATGAATGATTCATGATATGTTTGCTATGGGGCTGGGCAATGCTTTCAGGAAGGACCAGAGAGGTGGGGAACTCAGTGCTGCCTCCTGATCTACCCTGGCCAGGAAATTAAAGAAGAGGCTAGGAGCACACAGATTTCTTTGGTATCACCCCGATCCTGTTCCCAAGAAGGGATGTTGGAGTAATGGCGAGTACTGAATAGCTGGCTGCCTGTTTTACTGCTATGGTGTCATCTCTGAAATGACTTTTTGCTTTTGTCCCAGGGCAGTCTGTGGATCCAGGTGGTATCTGAAACGAATGTGAAACAAATTCACCCATTCAGGGTACAAATTCCATGTGCAGTCACTTCACCATGTAAGATTTAGCTTCAGTCTACAAGAATGTGTCCCCAGCTCAGTCCTCCCAGACAGAAAGAATTGTCACTAGCTCTTTCCAAACCAGAACTGTATGGCACTGGATTCTTGCCCTTTTCTTCTCCTCTCTCTGGCTCATGACTAGCTTTCCTCAGCAAGCTCTCTTATTTGACACTCTTCTAAGAATACACCACTCCAAAAGCCATCAAAACCTCAACCATGTATAGCTACCTGTAGGGAGATAGTTAAGGACAGGTGTTGCTAAGTTCCTTTGTGTGTCTGGGACTTCCTAGAATCGAAGACCTAGAAATGCTGCAAAACAGGAAGCCAGCTCTTCAACATGCCAGAAGGCCTTCCCCAAAAGTCCTATGTGTCTATTCAAAGACACAGCTTAGGATCATAGAATTTTAGGGGTTGGAATGGACCTTACAGATCATCTAGTCCCCCCCCCCCGCCATGGGCAGGCACACCTCCCCACTAGACCAGGTTGCTCAAGGCTTCATCCAACCTGGCTTTGAACACTGACACAACAGTTAAAGCACAGCCTTGCCTAGTAAGGAATTTTCATGAATGAGTTGACACTTAGGGACTAGCTGGATACTAGGCTAGGAAACATATTCCATCTGTCCTTCATCTGGAACAGACAATGTAGAAATTTTCAACTTCCTTGTGAAGATTCAGAGAGAGAAAGCTCTTAAGAGTTGCCTGAGAACACCACCTCAGAGGCCAGTGGGCCAGCTACACCTTGCCTTGATGTTGCATGGCCCTCAAGCTGGATTGGTGTAGATCCCTGACAGTTTCTTGGACAGTATCTTTGAACACTAATCAGAATTCCTAGAAGCAAAGATCCAATCTTGAACATACCAAGATAAGAAAAGGACATAGAGCTGAACACCATGACAAGAATTCTGTTGTCCAGAGTTGTTCTACTTCAATTATTTCTAGTGAAGGCAAAGAGTACAGGCAGACAAGTATTAATCTGTACAGGGCTAAGTAAACAGAGAAAACCTAAATAGCTTTCTTTCGTTCACTACTTACCACAGATCTTTGAGTTTGGAAGGTACTCAGTAGCTAACACCCAAGAGGTGAGCAGAGGAGAACCTCAAGATTTTGGCAGTAGCGACAGGAGTACTTTAAAAGCACAAGGGTGTTCACAGAAGAGTTCTATCAAGAAGGGAACAAAGGTTAAGATACTTCTTTAAGCAGCACCACAAGTCACATCTTCTGGAATAGTCAAGCATGAAAGAAGTGAGGTGTCTTCAAACCAGATTCTGAGTTCTGGGAACTTAGATTAATAATTTGAGAAGAAAGCCCTTTCCAGCTCAATTATCTACCCCATAAGCTACTCAACAGAGAGGCAGCACTATGGCAAACAAAGCACAAAGGACTTTCCATGTATGGCTTGAAACTTGCTTATTAACAGACTACTAAAGGGGAGGATGTACCTACTAGATGGATCATAAAATGACAGCAAAGGTTAATAAAAATTTCCCTTAGTTGAATCCCAGAAGTTTTAAGCAAACAGACCTTGTTTGTGAGCCCACTGCAATATGTAAGATCTACAAAGAAAATGTAAAAGACAAGATGAAAAAATTAATTGCTTCAGGAACTTCAGCTATTGACTCAAATGGGAGTATGTGTTCCCTTCCCTACCTGTGAGGTAGCACCTATTAACAGAATAGAGTACTTCTAAAGTCATCACCACCCACCAGAACAGCTATCATGTCCTAGCTAGAAAATATTTCCTTCTCTTTGAGAAATAAATTTTTCCCTAAAGCAGCAAATATCATCCAGGGTAAGAAATCCTGACGACAACTCATGATGTGTCAAACAAAGGCATCAAGAAAGCACAAACCTCATTTCATTTTCCTCCAGATCTCCCCTGTCTGCCATGGGATCAGACTTTTCTCAGTTTAATTTTTTAAATTAATATATGAATGTGTGCAACAAAAAATTGGAATTACTGACATAAAGGCTACTTGCTACATCTGAAAGACATTAAAAAACAGTGCTTAAATAGCATCTGATTTCTAGAAAAGTTTTCAAGAAAGCTGTGATGTTAAGCATGGAGAAATTACTGGTTAGACACCTGGATCCAAAGTTTTTCTGTAATGATAAATAATCTTTTGAGAGCTTTAGCCTCCTGCAAGGTGAAAAGATATTATTTCCTTCATTTCAGATTAGTGAGTGAGCTGAAGAGAATTTTATTCAGTTCAATAACCTGGTTGCTCAAAACTAAGAAACAAACTAGGATTTGAAAAAGCAGGGACATTTGTTTTCCTCAAATCAAGCGAATTAAGG